AAGATATTCTAGAGGAGAAAATTTGCAAAAATAGAAACTACATGTAGAACCACTGAAAATAGTAGTGACATCAGTTTCTATATACAAATTTCCACTCAATTCCTAACTCCACATGAGCAGCAGTATGCGGTCGAACTTTCAAATTCCACCACAACACAGGTTTCCCACAGAAGCAAACAGTCCTGGTGCATGTTTGACAGAAGTTTTGTTCCCTATATCCACTACTCTTCTAAAAAATTAAATTCATTTAGGCTACACCTGAATTCAAGTGGTCGACATCTTTTCCGGTCACTCTATGAAGTTATCCCATTCCAATACAAGCACCGGTACAGGTGTTGGTGCTGGAATCAGCATGTGAAGTTGGCTGCTTTTGGTGTGAACTATGTTGTGCCCACTCACTTTTTGGGGCCCCACTTGTAATATTGTCGCTTCACGACTCTCGAAAAAAACCCTGAATGATCGCGCCCAAGTTTTTCCCGCCATGCTTCCCAAGTTCACAGCTATGCTATCTACCGGTATTCACAAGAGAGGACACTTCCAGCGAGGGTAAATGAAACGTTCCCCGGGAGTCACACTCGCGTGCCGACGAGCAAGTCATGGGGCCTTCCCAATTCTTATAGTTCCATAGATAGTATATCCCTGGTATCCAAAACTACCGGTATAGAAGATAAGTGAAATACAGTAATAATAATATAACAATAATGGTGGTGGCGCCATTATATTTTTGACTTGATGCGCTGTCAATACACCCCTGAACACATAGCCACCCAATTTAAAGGTTTTAAACTCTCAATAAATGCCCTCACCCGCCTACGGAGGTCCGTAGGTTTGACAGACCCTGGACTACTATTCATATACAGTGCTCGCACTCTGTACTCGAGTACCACACTTATGATCTCATACTACGACACTGTACCCGGTAAGTTATGGCAATTTGGTGGGTATGGCGGAACTTCAGTTGCACTCGGTAGAGCGGAAATACGCAGAATATTCCTGGGAGGGTTTCAACGAAGCGGAACTACCGCGCCGGTAAGCGAGACTGTAAAAAAGGCCCTCCTTCGTACCGGTACTCGCCCTCGCCACAACAAATGGGGGGGCCTGAACCTGGCAGCGGAGCGCGAGTATACAGGTACAAGTACAGTACCGTACTCGAGTACCGGTATATCCCTTGTCTCCTCCCCCGCCCCCGGCTTATCCGACAGTCCTGGAATGCTGGTATCATACACTACTCGTACCCCGCAAACTGCCCTACCCGGTAAGAGGATACTATACCTATACTATGCTAAAATTTAGGCCACGGACCGGGGATGTAACCACCGGAAGAGTCATGCGCTACCGTACTCGTACTCGATCGGAGCTGACACTGACATTCCTTACTACCGGTAGTAAGCAAGCTGTAACTGACAACAGCCCCCCCCCCCTCGTATAGTGTACGGTATACCGGTACTGTAGTCTACTATTGGCCTATCGGTAATACCGGCCAGAGCATGCCGGTGTTGGTGAGGTGAGGCTTTCCATTGGGCCGAACAGTGGGTAATTTATCGCTCAGGTACACTGGTATCGCTCGTATATACGGGTCGTACTTGTACGAATACAGTACGAGCCTGGGTTTCTATACAAAACACGAATCTTCAACATACCCCTACCCAACAACAGATACGGTAATGAGAGGAAGGGAAAGTCCGCGTTTTTTTGACAGAGTTTTCAGCTCAGAGATTCGCATGGTTGAGCATCAGGCTATCATACTCGTACAGGAATTGTCCCACAAAAAAAGCTTAAAGTCTGAGTTCGGAAGGGGAGGTGAAACTTCATGCCAAGACAGCCAATCCGTATGGGAGCTTGCATACCGGTACTTGTAGCGACCGGATAGGTCGACTTCAAAATGCCGCATCCGCACTTGGGACCCAATAAAGATTGAAAAGAATCATTGTGCTGGACTCCATATGGATGCACCTCATGTTGTCAGAGTTTGAAGGTCAGGATTTGTTGCGGTTGCTGCTGGTAGTGAATTGAAGATCGGAAATTTATATGGTACGGGTACTGGTATGGACCATGGGCCAAACGCGTAGGCACTCGAGTACTCTACCGTATACTGCATAGTCGGGTTCACCACATTCTTGATTTTTTCTTCTTTTAAATTTTTTTCTTTTTAATACCGATGAGTTATAAACGTACCGTACCGATACCGTACTATACTCACTCAAGGCTCCGCAACCACTAGTCATCACGGGCCAAGAATTAGGTTCCCAATATTACGTGTTGCGAGAAGTGACCGGTCAATGATAGACGCGCCAAGCTCATAAAATTAGATGATGTGATGTCTCACGACCAGACGCTCGTCCGGTAGGGCATCGTCCTGATCAGATCTTAAAAAGCCTCACTGATCCCACTGCGCCATTGCCGGTATGAGATTGGGCTCAGGGTATGCACAGAATTCTGTCGAACTCTTCAATCAAAGGCCATAGTGGAAGGCGCCACCGCTTCGGCTTACGTTGTTGGCGGTCTTGTAGCACTAAAGGGCAACTAGAGATCGGCTCTGATTCGTCCGGTTTACCCGTGTGTGACGTGAAATACAGCGAAACGGTCCATTTGCTCTCAGTGGCTAGAGCGGGATCCTGAGCTCTGAGCGGGGGCGATAGTGTAGCTCACTGGAGCCAATGAGGGGCTGTTCGGCAGAGTTATCCTGAACCCCCCCGGTCCTGACCCGTCAGGGCTTTCTTATCATTCAGTTACACAGCTTCTCGGTCCTACACCGCACGGTACCAACAACGGAGGAGTTACTTAACTGAGGTGTCCCCGGAAAAAGCATCTGGCCGATAATACGGGGAAGCAGATTGGTGCTGTAGTGTATGCTGTCATGATATTCCTGGACACATATCCCACCTCCCCCTAGTTCGTAGTGAGTATTCCATTGCACGAAGTTCCAATACACTAAAGTGCCCTCACTGTACCTCCCCAGATCACTGCAGCCCCTGAATTTAAACTGATTGGCTGCGGAGGGAGATGTCTTTCTGAGCTGGCGATTATTCTCCGAGCACCGTAGAAAGTTAGTGGGGATATGTGTCTATCAACAAAAGGCGTACGCTATGATACCGGAGGATACGGGCGCGGTATCGCAATCTCTATCCCGGCGCCGTGGGGACTTTTGGGACTCGCTATCTCCGGGAGGTCTCCAGTCTCAGTATTCAGAGATAAAAACTCTTGGGAAGGATCGGTGCGCTCCAGACACGGTATAACCCGAGCTCTTTCGACATGCTGAGTCTGATTAACTTGTTTCTGCAAGCCCGTTAACTCGCAAACCAAGCCTACCATGGGCTAATGCGGAGATTTCCGCTGAGGATCCGGTACAGGTAGATGGCGGATGGCAAGAAGCTTTCATGGTGGCTTATTGGGAGCTGAGACAGCAAACGAACACTCCGAGCAGTTACCCCACTTGGCTTCCCGGTTCTGTGGATGGTTGCTCGTGTGGTGCCAATTTCCATTTGCACCTTCTCTGCCCTGCCGGTGCTAAATGTGGGCATTTTCCGTCTCAGCTCCCAGGAGATGAGCCCCGGCCGGATACATGGATCGATTCCCATGGCCCACTGTTCGTCATTGATTGCCTCCGCCCGGGCTAAACCGTTCAGCCTCATTAAGAAGGTGGGTGCAATTCTTGGCAATGCTTACTTTTAAGTTAACGCGGTACTCGAGACCGGTATCGGGAGGTGGGAGTCGCATCGGACGGTCCCATTGTGCCTTTGGCTCTGTCTATGATCACCTCCGGTGTGTTTTCGCTGGAGCCGGATTCCCGCTAAGGAGGGGCTGGCCAGTTGCCTCTGGTTATTTGCTTAAAGTGTTGCGTTTTGGAGGTCTTCCTGTCCTCCTGTTGGCTTGCTGCTCTTGGTTCTATTTTGACTTAAATAGATATTGTGCCGTAGGGCGGCACAACAGGTAGCGTCCTTTTTTGGTAAGTGATCCGGGACCTAAATACAAGTAATTGAACATGACGGACATAGTTAAGCACACTTTGGTGCAACCCACTGCCAGCATTGACCCAGCCTCCACTTAGCGGCGCTAGCTCCCAGTTACCTGTACGACTACTTGTACGGTACAAGGCTCGGGCATCAAAAAGCGGTGGAGTACCGTACAGATCGGGGGTGTTGATGTTGATTTTGGTCAAAATTAGTGGTGCATCGCAACCAACTTGTCTGGAAATGTGTACTGTACCGTACGAGTATCATACATTCCGTCGGTCGGCAGGTGCCCTGTCAGAGCTATGCTTTTGATATGATACCGGCAGCCCTATTTGAATGGGGGCCAGGGACCTCACCCATCAATTATATTTGTTCAGAGTAGACCGAGGTAAGAGGAGATACCGGTACTTGTACTCGTACTCGTAGCGATTCCCCCCGGGCGGAGTTTGCCAGACGCACCACGGCTGCTGAAATTACGGTTATGCACCAAACCGTTATTTCATTCTTGACCCTTCTATGAAATCGACGGCACTCGTACTTGTACTGTACGAGTACTGTAACGCGTTCTTCCGAGAGAGTCTACTCGTACTCGTAAATGCCGGCCGTTTCCCAAAGGGTGTGAGTAGACTTAGCTTCTGGCGTTGCATCCATTCGGGAGAGACCTAGACTACGGGTACAAATACTAAGACCGTATCCCAGAGCTTGGGAGCGATTCCACAGTATCGGATCACCTTCCCTGCGCACAACATACGACCCCTATACAGCCCTTTAGGGATCGACAACCGGCTACCGATCCTTAGTGCCGTAAGACTTTGATAGGGCGTGAACATCAGTGGGGCAAACTCGAACTTTATTGTCCAGAATGGAGAGCGTGTAAGCATACTCACGCCAGATCCCTGGCCCTGTCGAAGAAAATTAGGCTTACTCTTGGCACAAGGGCGCCCACGGTCGAATTCGACTCTCTGGTCAGCCGATCCGCCCAGGGGCCGATCAGAGATGGTTTTGCTCACTTGCCCTTAACCTCCGGTACAAATGAAATCCATCAGTAATAATAACCCAACCGCGCCGACCCAACCCTTGTGGGTTGTTACGGTACTTGCCCTCACTCTATGATAGCCAATAGATGCTTAGTATTCCCCTAAGGTGCCGGGTCCCTGCTGTGGCTTTTGAGGAAGTATTTGAAGCTTCTTAACGCCCATCTTTCCTCTTTTCCCCAGCAAACTGTTCGAAGGACCTTTCCACGAAGACAGTTCACTAATTGAGGATGCGTACGGCCATTATTTTCTCCGCTTTAGCCTCCATCGCTTTCGCTGCTATTCCCTTCTTGAATGAGCCTGATACTGGATTCAATGCCGACGTTTCCCCCACCGGGCAACTCCCTGCCTTGGACAGTATCAAGGGGATTCCTGATTTCGAAGCGGTCGCTCGCCGCCATATGAATGTCTCGGATTATTGTGAGTTGGAGAATCCGTAAATTGTATATCATTGGATACTGACAATTGTGGACTTCAGCTTACTACAGGACTGGTGCTGCGGGGGAATTTGGTGTGTATTTTTTTTTTGCAGCCAGCTATTTGGACTCGCAAACGCGTACGATACTAACGGTTTCAAGCGTACCGTCGCTCGCTGGAAATCTTCGACCAAGTAAAACTTCGTCCCCGGACTCTTGTTGATGTTACCAATATTTCGCTCAAGTAAAACCGTGCTCTGTTCTTTGTGTTGTCTGCCGATGCTGATAATTCGATAGCACGACCATCTTTGGCCACGAATTTAGTGCGCCATTCTTTATCGCTCCCGCAGCTCGCGCAGGACTCACCCACCCTCGTGCTGAGCTCAATCTGGCCGAAGCAGCTGGTGCGGGGAATATTCTCTATGCGGTATCCCTCGCCTTCCCAGGAGCCCCGAGTAATCCAAGTCCCGAAATGTTACGACTAACGATTCAGCAATGCAGCCTAGCTTAGGCTCAACCAAGAGAATTGAAGAAATTGCCGCTGTTGCGGCCCCCGGCCAAGTCATGTTCCACCAAGTGAGTTACACTCAACCAGTTTAGGAGGGGTATTGTGGATCACGCGCTGGATCAAGCGCTAATAATTGCCTTAGCTCTATGTCTCCCGCAACAAGACCAAGTTTGCGAGTGATGTTAAACGCATCGAAGCAGCTGGTTTCAAGGGAATCTTTGTTACAGTCGACAACCCAATTCATGGTGCGCGCACACGTGAAAGCCGATATGGATGGCCTTCGACCACGTATGTAATATCATCCATGGGCAGTTGAGGTGGGCGACACTGACATGGGTAGTGACTCTGACCCTAAATTCACCTGGGAGTCGTACCAGGAGTTGAGAAATATGACCTCATTGCCCGTTATTCCGAAGGGAATCCAATCTGTTGAGGATGCGCTACTTGCCGTTAAGTGTGGCGCACCGGGAATCTACCTCTCCAACCATGGCGCACGCCAACTCGATACCTCGCAATCTCCACTTGAAATCGCCATCGAGATCTACGAGAACGCCCCCGAGGTCTTCAAAGAGACCTTTGTCTTCGCCGACGGTGGTGTCAGGTATGGAACGGACGTCTTGAAGCTCCTGGCTCTCGGTGTGAAGGCTGTTGGCCTCGGAAGACCCTTCATGTACTCCAACTTGTTTGGCAGGCAGGGTGTCGAGCACTTGATAGATATTCTGAAGGAGGAGATCGCCCTCGATGCTGCCAATTTGGGGGTCGCAGAGTTGAAGCAGTTGGATACTAGATGGGTAAGATTATCATTTCTCAATTTTTATTATGCCTTCACGGATTTTGATGCTGATCGGGATCGACTGCCTAGCTGAACTTTGGCCGGTTGAGCGCCTACGTCTACAAACTCGACAGATCGTGATGGAATTAGATGGTGAAGGTATACCCTGTAACATAGTACATCAGAAATTCATGTAATAATTTTCTCGATTTTTTTTGTTCATGAGTCTGGGCTGTCGTCCAGCCTCGGGGCTTCTAGGCCCAAGTTGCCATAGGGGCCCCTGCGATTCACTAACTCTGGGGGCAGTGAAGCTGCATGTGAATGCGGACAATGAGCGACGAAGAGCAGTCAGAAAGGTAAGGCCCCGTTTGGCATCCCATAGGACTGGCCTTTCCCCGACATTTACTCTAGAGCGTTTCTATTGCTAATAGAGCACCCAAGATTGAATCCCCCGGCTATCAGGAGGGTGCTTTGAGACTGTAGAAATTTGTTGGTATAATAGGCACGCTAAGGCCAGATTGGGCAGCCGCAAGCTTTACTTTGGCTAGAAGATTGAATTTTTCCGTCGTTCGAGTGTTCGAATGACCCAGCACCTGGATCAGCTTAATTATTCCCGGCCAGTCAGAAAGCCCGAATCTTTCAAAAAACGACTTAGCGTGCCTGGCAGTGGATTTTGCGGATTCGGACCGCATAAGGGATAGCTCAACCTGCAAATCTCCTACTGTATCATATCATACTACCGTAGGTTTTTGCAGTCAATAACGCTAGCCCACCGTACTAGCAAGGCAGCTGCGCTGCTGCTACGAGTGCTCGGGCATGCGTGTCAGGATTTTTACACCGCAGCGCACCAGACGGGGCCTACTGTAAGGTAAGTTTTTTATTATTTTTATTTCATGCTTGCTAAATTCTGCATATTGATTTAGAACAATTTGGAATGGGAAGACTGCGGGTCAACTAGGACTTGCACAAGACCACCGGGTTCCGGTATTAGCGCTCAGAGCGCGAGTTCCCGTATCGTAGTCCAATTCTGTCCAATCCTACTGTTTCCACAGTTCCGGGCAAACCGCACGGTGCTCCCGTAGAATGAGAAAGGCGGTCAGAAAAGGAGCACGGGAGGTGTGAACGTCAATAAGGCAGTGGGAAAAAGAGTTATAAACTGAAAATCCGAATTTCTCCGATCCAGTCTGAGAACAGAGATACCGGCAGTGCGAGCTCCCCGCCTGTTTTAAAGGTCGAGGAACTTTTGGTGGGTGCGAGCGCTAGCAGAGGAGGCTAACTTGTGGTAGGTGGTTTATGTACGAGTGCGATCATAGACTGCCCGATAGTGGCCATCAGAGGGAGATCATGTGGAAGGGGTTGTGACGCTGCAATCCATTCCTTTGTCTGGACGGTGCTATTACGAGTAGAATACGAGCACGGTAGTGGAGGACTTCCCGTAAGTCTATCGGGAGTAAAGTCTAGACTATCGGGAGTAAGGTCTACCGTATTAGAATAGAGATCTGAATAGAGGATATGACTTCCCGTAAACAGCAGGATTCCAGCCAGTTTTCTCTATCGCTGGATTAGGAATAAACTAAAGCACTAGTGCAATAACAGGATGTCTTGTTAGACAGACATACTCGAGTACAGTACACCATTTCATTGGAATACCGTAGATAACTTGAAATGGAAGGGGGAGCGGGACCCCCCCCTTCTAACAGCTGGTTTTAAGCACCCTCTCCTATTGTGCAATGTTTGGAAATTTCTGTTCTATCCCGGTGATAGGCTTACGGGAAGTCCTCCAGGATAGATTCCATTGGCCGGGTCACCCCCAGGTGACCAAAACCATACCATCCTATGAGTCTAGTTTAAGCTGCAGAGGGCAAGCTGGAAGCTGCTCAAGTATAAAAGGTCGTGATATCCGGGAGCGAGTGGAGTGATTTCTGGGAATTTCGGCTAGTTGTAACAGTTCACGAGTGTAGCATACCGTATGTAACTGTGCGGTGCGGTAATAGTAGGTGTGTTCAAAGTTAAAAACATGATTTTTCGGTAACAAGTAAATACGGGAAGTCGCATAAGCTTACTTTCTGGTATTGGCCAATAGCATCCTCATGTTCTGCCAGTGGGTGTCATACTTGAATGTTCCAAGGTGACCAGGGGTAAAGTACTCGTACAGAGGTTACGATAAATCTTGCAGAGATTGCAAAAATCCTGTTTCTGTCAACAAAATGTTATAAAGTCAAAATATTTTCACTAGTCAGAGTGCATGTTTTAGTTTTTTATAGACTAATTCTCTTTTCACATCATGTGTGATTCCAGAAGCCTGTGCAAAGCCAAGGTTGGCACCAGTTACGACCTCAGACCTCCATATCTACCATGTGGTATGATGAAGTTAAGTAACACTAAATTAACCATTTCTGTGCATGCCAAGTTTACGTGGGGCGGCAAGGTGGGCTTGGTTTTTGCTACGTTTTTAACTTTGAAAACGCCTAGTAACTTATCAGCCCACAGCAACCGATATCACGGGTAGACTGGGTTGCTATCCGCTACTAAGTGATATCATCTTCGCCCGACGTCACTCCTCCGTCAACCATCTTCCCACCGAATGCCAGCCGAAACATGCAGCTCTCTCTCGTCATACTCGAGTACCGTACAGTATGCTAGCAAGAATAATACTTGGGGAGAAAAGTGCCGGTATCCGTGGGTCGGTCAGTCAGGCTTTTGAAAATCTCGCCCGCAAGCGGAGATTGGCACATGCAGAAATTTTGCGAAATTCTTGCTCCTACTCGTACACCGATACCGGTGCTTTTTCTATTCTCCGGGTACCGTACTCAAGTACCTGTACCGTACTCCATGCCCCCCCACCTTTCCGCTTACCCCCTGCATCTGCGCAAACACCCTTGCCAGCTGGGACATATATCTAGGAAACAGCTTGGTTTCACCCAGTTAAACCCACCATTTCGAAATGCCCCCACAACACCAACCTACCGTCCGCTATCGATGGTAACTGAAGAAACTTAGGGAAATGGAGGATAATCTGAAAGCGAGAACCAAGGGCTCAAACGAGGGAAGGGGGGATCACGGATCGGAGTTTGGTGGAGTCAGCTCAACCAATTCAGAGGAGGCGGACCTGCCGGATCCTAGCCATGAGGGTGTCGTGTGTGGAGTTAGTAGGGAGGTCGCGACGTCCCCATCCCCCCCACCGCCAACTGTGCATCCGCTTGGGGAGATGATTTATCCCCAGGTCACGGCGCCGGAGTCTTGCACGAGCCGGTCCAGCCGAGATAGGAAGGGAGAGGGGAATAGTGGGGGTAGTACTTGGCCCGAGGGAAGGGGGGAGAAAGGTCCTGATGGTGGGGCTACGGACACGCCTGACAAGAAGGGGGTACCTGGTGCTACGGGGGAGTTTCAGCCTGAGGACATTGGTGCTGATATCGACAGAACGAGAAACCCTCTCTCATCCGAAACGAAGGAGCACAGGGCTGTGAGGCTGCAGCTGGAGGAGATTGGGGGGGTTGGAATGGAGGAAAAGGAGAGTCCCGCAAAGAGGGGAACGAGTGCTCAAGGAGATGAGATCAGCGAAGCTTTGGAGGTTTCAGACCAAAAGGGGAGGAAAGGCAAAGCCGTGGAAGCGGAGACTGGGGCGGGAGAGCAGGTGGGGGTTGAAGAAGTTCTAGATCTCAGTGGAGGGGTTATGGGGGCTCCAAAGGCCGGCGAAGAAGACATAAAATCTTCAGCCCGAGTATCGAGCCAAGCGGAAAATACGGGAGGTGGAGATTTTGGTCCTTCGCCTCACCAACTTCCCGAGACTAAGGAAACTTCACCCGACGTCATGGCGTGCGAACCTAGAAGCTCAAGCCTCAAGTCCGCGGATATCAGGCGCAATAGTGGAACAGTCAAAGGCCACGATAGGGATATCGACAGCAAAAAGCACGACAAACCGCAACCCAAGAGAGTTTCATTCGCTCCCGAACCATCGGAATCGAGCGCACCAGAGATATCAGCTACTACTGCCGAGACCGAAGAGCTCGAGGAGATCGCCGATGTCCCTGGTGAATTCGGAAACAATATTGGAACATTCGGGGGCCACGACAGGGAGATCGGCGGGAAGCAAGATGGCGAGCCCGCCGAACCAAGATTGCAACCGGCGCAGACACCTGGAAAAAGCTCCATGATAGAAGAACTCTGGAAAATTGTTGACATCCCTCAGCGGCCCGGGCCAAATCCTGAGACCGAGGAGCTTGAGGGGATCGCTGACGTGGTTGGCGAGTTTGGATATAACATTGGCACCATCAGGGGCCACGATAGAGCGATTGATAATAGGTGCCGTGATAAACCCCGGCAAAGCAACGCTCACCCGCCAGCCGTCCTAACTTCCGAAGGTCACCTTCCTGATATGGAAGCGCAGAGGACTCCTGAGTCACATGGACTGGGTAATGTGGCCGTGGAGGGTGGGGAACTTGGATATAACGAAGGCCAACTTAGCTTCGGTCCGGGGAGACGCGAGACTCACGGAGCAGATATTCGGGGACAGAGGGCAGTAACCGGGTCGGGTGAGAGCGCGGGGATTAGCGGGGGCCAGAGGTCGAGTAATAACGGCACGGCAACACGGGCTTCGCCATCCCAAAACACAAACCGAACTGCCGAATCTCAGGAATTGAGCAGTATTACCATAGAGAGTGGCGAGTTCGGTTACAACATTGGCGGGTTACCCAGCTCTCATCCAGACGGACACAAGGTGCGCCGGCGGCATTCTTCGGGGCAAACTCAAGGCCGGGAAGGTGTGGCACCAGAAGCGGAGGAGCTAGGTCGAATTACGATAGAAAGTGGTGAGTTCGGATATAACGTTGGAGGCTTGCCTAGCTCTCATCCTGGCAGGCATCGACGGCATACTCATGAGGGGCTACGAGATCGACCCGGCCGGGAGGCATCCGGGAGTCGCAGTCTAGGCCAAATTGAACCTGGCAATGGGGGGCTCGGTCATGGCATCGGCTACCTCGAGCACTGCCAACGCGGGGGTGAGAAGGAAACCCCTACTGCGCCAGGGAGCAGACATCGAAATAAGCAGCCCGCCTCTGGCAGCACGGCCGCTAATGACACGCCCCAATCCTACTATCACAACTTCATCTCAAAGTCCTCGGGTCGGTCAATATCTCCTCCGCGGCCAGCGCACGCCGCTGAAGCGATAGAACCCGGAAACACCACAACTCGATCCGGTCACCGATCCCAGACAGCCACAAGCCACGGACCCCATACCATCCCTGCGAACCCTAAGTCCGACCCAGCCACCGGAATCGCCACTGAGCTGGATCTAGACATCATTCACGAGCAGCAGCCCGATGCCCCACAAGCGGGGACAGACGAACATCACCTAAATGGAGATGTCGAAGCGGAGTTCGTGAAGTCAGAGGTACACCCATATCCTGAGGAAGGGGGGAGCAAGGAGGAGAGTATGGGGAGGATGGCAGTGTGGGGGGTCATTTGGGCTGGATTTATCATAGCATTGGGATTGGTAGCCTTGTGGGGACTCGGTCACCCTGTAACTGGATTTGGATATAGGAAGGTGGTGGGTTGGTCGGACGTAGTCGCGGAGTGGCTATTCGAGGAGGGGAAGAAGGGGTCGTCTTGAGGGGTGTAAATTGCTCTATTCTTCGATCGGAGGAGGTTTTCGGGGGATCGCTTTTTTATTCGTTTTGGTTTCAGTTGTTCAGCTCCATTTACTACTTATCGATTCATGTGGTCAATTTTCGTTGCACACGTTATCACTCGCTGTGTCGGCTGTCTTGCTATGATAGCCTAAGGCGGAGTGAATTTATGATAGTCTAGTCCTTAAAGGTTGAATTACATGATCCCAAGGCAGGGTAATGTGATCTGTACCGAGAGTGGTATGATATCTAAGATAAGTTAACGTGACCCTTGGTTACTCAACTTCGTAACATAACCCCCTCTACTCGAATCTCCACTACTAGTAGGGGAGCCTTGTTCAGGGAGTATCCATTCGTGGGGAAATTCTAGTAACTGCATAGCACTGCACCTCGGGTTGGTATACTGAACCGTCCCGACAGAGGCCTCCCGGGTGTTGAGAGGCTCAAAGGAAAGTAGATGACTTGTATTAGTTGTTGGTAGTAAAGGAGGAGGATGCTTAGTCAGGTTGGGATGGTTGTCTTGGCACTGGGAGTTTTTCACAGTTAAGGTCGAAGGACTGGTCATCTCTTGAAAATAACAACGATCATCAAAACCATCATCGCTCTCATTCTTTTTGAATCCTCCTTTCTCACTCCCACAGCGCATCTTTCAACAGGTTATGAGCCCGGGATTGTCGCTTGCTCAGAATCGCTGCACAAAAAGTTGCTGTTTGACATCACATCAAACCTCCCGACTCTCCATTTTCCCACCTCTCTAGCCTCTACAACTTCTTAACAAATTCTCTGCTGATCCAACCTTACCCCCTAGCTATGACTACTAAAGAAAGTACCTTTAGCTCCAAGCATGCCAGCTCTATTCCACTTCTCGATCATCTAAACTACAACAAATGGCATACCGGCATTGTGATTCATCTTCGTGCCATCAAAGTCTATGGAATCGTTACTGGCTCTGTACAGCCACCAACACCGACGGCAGAAAACCAAGTGCAAACTTTAGAATTTGAGTCACTTGAGGCAAAGGCAATTGGAGCGATTCGTGCTAGCTGTTCGGAGTTAGCAAAGCGGTATCTCACCGGATGTGAGAATGCAAAGGCTATGTGGGAGGTCCTTCAAACCCGTCTCAACAGTGCTACTTCAGTCAATGGGAGGCTAGCACTACGCAGACAGTTCCGAGAATGTCATCCAATCTTTGGAAAACCGTTAAGTGAATTTATCTCCCAACTTCATGACCTCCAGCAGCAGCTTGCAGACTCCGAGCAAGCAATAGACGATGAAACATTCAAAGATCAACTACTTACCTCTCTACCATCATCTTATGGTACACTGGTTGAAATCATCTTCGAGTGAGAAAGCAGCTATACCGTGGAAGATATTATTCGCAAGGTTCTTCATACAGAAATGGCAAAGGCTCGAATTGATGGTGTAGTTTCCACCAATTCCTCTCTCGTATCTGGTGATGCATTACTGTCTAATACAGGCTCGAATCGGAACCTACGAGGTACCTATCATGGCGGATATCGTGGTTTTGGTCATAGATCTACGCCTTATACAACCCCATTCCCAGGACAATGTCACGCATGTGGTGTGAGAGGCCATAAAGCATCGCAATGTCGTAGGAAATCAGACCTACCTGACCGCTCTATAAGAGTACCAGCTACTGTTTCTTGCTTCGCCTGTGGTGAGTCAGGACATGGAACAAGGCTATGTCCATATAAAAGTCTTTCCCCTACGCAGGCATCAAAAGGTCGCGATGTCTATCACAACTGGCTACGGTTGGAAGGCAAAACCTCAGGAACAGCAGCAATGAGTCAAGCATCCGAAACTGCACAGGACTCACCGGTATCGGAACCTCCTCAAAATCACTTTTGACTAGCCGACCAGCCCCTGCCTGTGGAAAAAGGAGGATGTATTTCCAGCACAAACTACACCTTTATAACTCAACTATCCCTTTTCAACTGGGCCTTCGACTCCGGCGCCTCTCATCATATCTCAAACTCGATATCCTCCTTTCTCTCTATCTATGATCTACCAAACCCTATTACTATCCGTCTTGGAAACTTCAATACCGTTAGTACAAAACAATCAGGAAATGTCTCCCTATGTGGACTCATTGTAGAGGCACTCTATGTGCCTGAATTTCGACTCTCTCTCATCTCAATTGGAAAGCTTACTGACCTTGGACTAACTGTGGAATTTGCTTCTCAGCAATGTAAAGTGTGGAGAAGGGCAGATGGCTCTCATCCAAGTTCGCTCATAATGCAAGGACAACTAACTGAGGGACTTTATATTCTAGAAGAACCAATAGACAGCTATAACAATACCACAAATTCACGAAGTGGTATGTCTATAGCTCAGTCACTTCTTACAGAGCATTCCTCGAGTTCTGTTCTCTGGCATCAGCGACTTGCACATCTCAACTATCCTACGATCCAGAAGCTTGGAATTATCACCTCATCTCCAAAAACACCGTGTTCTACCTGCCTCCTCTCTAAGCAGCGACGTACCAGAAGCCAAATTCCAGCCCAAAGAACCGACCAACCATTCTCCTTAATTCATTCAGATACATGTGGGCCATTACCGCCATCCTACTCGGGTGCAAAGTACTATCTGAGTCTGGTTGATGACCATACCCGCTGGACATTCGTATACTTTCTAAAGACTAAAAGATCTGAAGAGTGTATACAATGTTTTCAAGAGACTTTAGCATTCATCAAGTCCCACTATCCACAATACTCAGTAACTCGTTTTCGGTGTGATAACGGTCGCGGAGAATACGATAATGAAACGTTCAAACAACTTCTTAGAACACATGGGATCTCATTTGAACCATCACCACCCTATACGCAGCATAAAAATGGAGTTGCAGAACGGATGATACAAACAATCAATTCACAAGCTCGCTCAGTACTGATTGATGCTAACCTACCTATCTCTTTCTGGGCAGAAGTTGTTTCAACCGTCGTTTACCTCCATCGCCGAAGTCCATCATCATCAATAAATAATCGGTCACCATACGCTGTACTGCACCAAGGAAAGGAGGCATCCCTTTCTCATATCCGAAGAATTGGCTGTATTGCATATCATCAAATTCCTGATGAGTCATTTGCATCTAAGGCTGAACTCAAGTTTCATCCTCGCTCAAAGATCTGTATGCTTATTGGATATACTCCAACAGAGAAGACATGGCGTCTTTGGGACTTCCATGGGCGTGGTGGTATAGGACGTGCATTCCACAGCTCTGATGTGGTATTTGTGGAGGACCAAAATGCATTAAAAACACGCCCCAGCTCTGAAGATGAACAGCCTTCAGAACTTATGTCAGACCGTAATGACTACAGTACTGACTCTCCTCCTTTCAACTCGATAGTTGTTGAGAACTCTTGCTCTCCTTCTCCATCTCTGGACAAGGAGCCAAGTGATGATTCTCTAAGTCACTCGGGCTCCCTGGACATAGCTCCAGGTGACGATTCTCTAGCTCTCTCCCTCTCTGGATCTCTGGACAAAGTGCCAGGTAATAAGGATCTTTCTCTCTCTGGGTTCCTGAGTAAGGCATCAGGTAATGATCCTCTCTCACTCTCTGGATCCCTGGGTTAAGTACCAGGTGACAATGATCTCTCTCTCTCTGACTCTCTGGGCATGGCACCAGATGATACCTCTCTCTCTCTCTCTAGATCCCAGGGCATATTGCCAGGTGACAATACTGCTTCTTCAAGTTCTTCTCAGTCTCTCGGCAAGGTGTCGGATGATAGATTGAGTTTCTCTCCGGAGAAGACTACTAAATTGACACAGGCTCCACATAGATCTAGAAAGAATGATACCCGGAATGCCGACATTCAGAAACGAGTCGCAGAGATGATGGCAGAAGATGCAGAAAATCGTCAACTTGCTGCAAGACAAGCTGCCAACGCATTTGCTGCTCAAATTAATCGCTTCCTTGATGGCATTAAAATCGATGACCCCATGTCACTTTCTGAAGCCCTAGAAAGCAGCTATCAACAAGAATGGATCGAAGCGATGAAGTCAGAACTTTAGTCATTGGCTGAGAACTCTACGTGGGTACCAGTAGATCAGGTACCAAAAGGAGGAAAAGCGATCGGCTCAAAGTGGGTGTTCAGAACCAAGCCAAATGCTGATGGATCAACGCGATTCAAAGCGAGACTAGTTATTCGGGGATTCCAACAATGCAGAGGAATAGACTACGATGAGACTTATGCTCCGGTTAGCCGATTAGCAACTCTTCGCCTTGTCCTTGCCGTTGCAAGTGCTCGATCATGGAATATTGATCACCTGGATGTGGTATCGGCATTCCTAAACCCACCAATCGACGGAGATGATGTCTATATGGAGCTTCCTATGGGTATTGAAAAGATAGAACCTAATATCTAGTTCCCTACTGTGCGACTCCTTAAAGCACTTTATGGACTTCGGCAAGCTCCACGTCTCTGATATAAAGCGATTGACAGCCTGCTTCTATCTCTTGGATTTATAAAATCCACCGCGGAACCAAACCTCTATCGAAAACCATCCTTACTGGTCCTTCTCTACGTAGATGATATTCTTCTGGCATACGCTGATGCACATGAAGCTGAGAATATCAAACTACGCCTAAAGTCAACCTACAAAATGACAAACCTTGGAGCTGTTCAGCGATTTCTTGGAATAGAGATTACAAGGCTCTCAGACGGATCGTTTACACTATCACAACAACGATACCTTGATTGTATCCTTCAACGGTTCCAAATGGATAAAGCAAATCCAGTCTCCACCCCTCTTGCCTGCAATACTGAGCTCTCTGAATTTACTCATGATCAACCAATTGATCAACAGCTCTATCTTCAGATTATCGGAGCTCTGATGTATGCATCGCTTGGAAGTCGACCAGACATTGCCTATGCTGTGTCCGCTCTCAGCTGTTACAGTCACAACCCGCATTCCGTACATTTAACTGCTGCAAAGCGAGTTTTAAGATATCTCCAAGGAACCAAGGCGCTTATGCTTGTCTATCCAGCCTCATCATGCGAGGCATTGGAGCTAGTTAGATTTACGGATGCAGACTGGGCAAACAATATACAGGATCGATGCTCTGTAGGCTCATTTCTTTTTATCCTTGGTGGGCCAATCTCCTGGCAGTCACGCAAGCAAACAATTCTTGCTACATCAACTCTAGAATCAGAATACTCTGCATTTCTTGAAGCTGTAAAGGAATCTCTCTGGTTCCGACAACTGCTTTACGATATGGTGTCACCACAACCTCTACCCGATATCCACATTTCCCCAGAGAGGCATTGGCTGGATCAAACATCCGATACGAAACAAAGTTACTCTCCAACCCTCACTGCGCCAACAAAAATCTTCACCGATAGTGAACGGGCTCTTCAGACCGTTCGTTCAGAAGGAATTACTGCACGTAACAAGCACTTTGACATTCGGCTGTTCAAGGCGCGAGAAGTTCAACATGCGGGTATTGTTGACTTTACATTCATTCCAGGAGAGAAGAATGCAGCAGATGGATTGACCAAGGCACTGGTGGACTCAAAGCACCAACAATTTTTAAGACATCTGGGAATGAAAAATGTAGACGCTGGTTGTTAGGAAGAATTTTGCTTTCCTTGTTTTTGTCTCTTTTTGTTGTGGGAATTGACAGAGAGTGTACCTTTCCCCTCCGAGACAATCTGTAGGAGGGGTTTTAATGGCACTCAATGAAGTCTGACAGGAAGGGTCTATAAAGCTTGTTAGTTTCTTTTCTTTCTTTAGTCCTTGGCTTTGTGTTTTACTTGATTCATGAAGGCTGCGAGAATTCTGTAAAGGGTGGGAAGTGTTGGTAGTAAAGGAGGAGGATGCTTAGTCAGGTTGGGATGGTTGTCTTGGCACTGGGAGTTTTTCACAGTTAAGGTCGAAGGACTGGTCATCTCTTGAAAATAACAACGATCATCAAAACCATCATCGCTCTCATTCTTTTTGAATCCTCCTTTCTCACTCCCACAGCGCATCTTTCAACATTAGTTATTAGATAAAGAGAAGAAGATTAAGCGAGAGAGAGAGAGAGAGAGGAAAAGCGAGGAAGAAAAGGTGGGCGCGTAGAATCAGCAGTGGGGACAGGGGGGGTGACGCAAGCAGTCACAAGGTGTCACTCATGACCGCAGGAACAGAGAATATTGGGGCACGATCGTGACCACAATTTCCAACACCGGGTCTTGACTCTATCGCGAACCGGGTTCAACTACCACAAGACTCCGTATTAGCTGGGTAGGCTCGTTTTGAGGTACGGTATCCTGAGCACTACACCCCTCTAAAATCACCTTTTTTTTTTCCTATTACTTCGCGCACAATTCTCAGCACAATCCTCAGATAGGCTACTGTTTTACATTTTGGGCCACATTGGAATGTACTAGCGGGTCAAGTGACGACAGTAAAAAGAATTCATTCCTGGTTCCAGAGGGGGTCGAACCCTCGACCTTGGCGTTAACACTTCTTGGTATTAGCACCACGCGCTAACCAACTGAGCCATGGAACCATTGGCAGAAGAGGTTTTTCAATGTTGATACACTGCCAATCATCCCTCTGCCTGCCCAAAAACGGGTGCGGAAGCTGGAAAGATTTTGACCTTATGATAACTACGGTAAGAACTCGAATGATCGGACCATATGCTGGGACGTCGGGGTTGCCTCTCCCGGTAAGATCTGGTGTTTCCTCCCCGGGAGCCATGCTTTGTAGCGTGTATTTAGAAGCTTTTCAAGAGGAGGAATCTCTGGACTACCCAGCATATGGTCTGCTCACTCGAGTTCTTAGGTATTCTAGTGCAGTATATTAGCCTCCTTGGGCAAAGTAGGGGAGAAAAAGCTCTATTAATTTCTAGGACTTTATTCGGTCAGGTCCCAGTCCCAGGGTAAAGAAATCACTATCTAGAAATAACAGCAACAAGCGTTCATCCCGGTCATAACCCATCCTCGCCATCCGTGATGTTGCCTCTCATCCCAATTTCCTCAAGGGGAACCCCATCCCATCCTCAAGCACCCAGTTAAACACGGACCTGGCTATAATCTCTCCTAAGCTCATCACGAGCATCAGGACCAAATCTTTCCCCCCGGAAGAGCCTCTCTGGGCGCCGGCATTCTCCATGCAAGTGGATTTCCCATGGCAAGAAACCATCGTATCGCCGCTGCCTTTCTTCCTCAGCGAACTGGTTCATATGCTGTGCTAGAGCATGTTCAAACTGTGCACGATTATGGTGACGCTCGTGCTCGCGATTTAGGTCTCGTTGCGCCCTATGAGGGTTATTGCCGACGGTTTTTACTTCAACAATAACCTGGCCTCGTTTCCCGGGGTTTTGTATTTCCCAGGACTGTGGCCTGGATTTTGCACTAGTGCTTGCCGAAGAGACAAGGTCTACCAGAGCACTAGGTCTGACAGAAATGAAAATAGAATTATCAGGGATATTTCCCATGTCTGCCAGATAGTCACGAAGCTGTCTCTCTCTTTCTTGCTTCCTATGTTGGTACTCGTTATATTGTCTTTTCAGATAATCCCAAAGCGCCCGATCAATATCCCGGCCGTCCCTGTGCTGATTGGCAGCACCGTCACTGCTTCGGGACTTGGGAAAAGCGGCCTCGAAGCCGGAAAGAACAGTGAACATAAAATCTTGTATCATCCGTACTGATTTCAGCATGTGGCCGATTGAAAGAAACCTGACCGCTTCTGGCACGGTTGCATTGTGTTTGAAGAAGCTTCGGTGCTCCATGTATGCAGACCTTATGCCACTCAAAATAGGCCTGCTGCCACCCGTAAGGCAGCCAAACGAAATAGCTATGTTGACTAGAGCCTCGATAAGATCTTGGAACTTTCTAATAGGAAGGTGGAGCTGCCCTCTGTTGTCATTCCGGTATAACTGACCGATATTGATGGCGTGCGAACCCATTCTGTCCTCAAGTAATAACTCAACAGCCTCTCGAAGCGATGCATTTCGTTTAGACCTATCACGGCAGGTCCCTCTCCAGACCGTTAACCACGGCGCTGCGTCGCTTTCCCTAGGAGCCAAATCGAGATAATAGTACCCTCGCACTAGGCTGCTCCACTTGATGAGAGATCGAAGATGAGAATTGATCGGAAACCGGGCTGTAAACCAAGAGATCCGATGGGCGACCAGACGCTCTCGGCCCCAGTATATCTCGATTGTATGGTTCGCCCTAGATTGAAGATTCCCCATGTTGGGTAGAGAGTCTATCTGTAAAGAGGAGCGATGGGGGGAGGGGTCAGAATTGGGCCGCAGGAGAGGCCGAAACAGTCGGAGAAACTGTAAATATCGGTGGTGGTGAAACGTTTGTTTTTTTCCTGGTCGAAGAGGCAAGAGTCTCAATTCGGCTGGGTCTATCCAGGTGCAAGCAGGGCTTATAAAGGTAATCCTTTCCTCCCGAAATCGACGTACTCAACCTTTTTCACAGCCCTAAATCAACAAACCATCACAAGGAGTTTTCTCATGCATCATTCCGCAGCCACGGCCCAAACAGGAAAGTACTTGAGAGAAACTAGATGGGTGACACACCTCGCTTTCACCGTTCCCCCCAGTAGGCAGTAGATACTGTAAGATTCCTTTTCCCTTGGTGGCTCGCGTCGGTAAACCGACACATCACGTTGCAGATGAGATCATCCTAAGTGTTGTTGGCAAACCAAAGACCGGGGGCCACCCAGGTGCATATGGTGTACCAACGAGGCGTGGCTGGGGCGTACGTCCGCACTTTCATTTCCATTCAAGCATGCGAGACGCCATTACATCATTTACTGTGGGAGTGACTAGTATTTTGTCACGAGAGTTGATATCTGGGGACTGGTGTACATTCCGGATTGCTCGCCGGCCATGGGATCGTGAGGCTGGGCGAGTGATAAAGCAAGAGCTTATCTTGAACCCGGCATTTGCTCGCCCCAAAATCTCTCAGTCAATACTGAAAAAGCTCCATAAGTTGAGCTCAAACGAATCATGCCATCTGGATCCTCCTCTGGTTGCTGTTTGCTATCTCTACAAAGGAGCAATCTCACGCCAAAGCCCCTCCCAGCCCCACATCTTGGCCTTGTAAATCTAAATTCACATATGACATCGACTCAAGGTGCCTTTATGGCCCCAAGTTTAATAGGCATCCCCTCTTCGTAATGCTCCCACCTGCACATCACGTGGTCATACAAAATCACTCGCAATTCCTGTGGATTGTCTATCTCGGAAAGAGAGAAAGAAATCTTGATTTTCCTACCGCACGCGTAGGTTCGGGCTCACATCCACGAGCGGGATATGAAAGAAGAAAGAACCGGAAGAGAAAGGATAGGATAAAGGAAAGCCGAGATTGGCACCATAAGAGGAACCCGGAGGAATGGAAAAATTTGAAAAAGAAATCTCGGAAGGAGAGGAAAACATATGACAGCCTAGGAAGGAAAATGAACGACAAGCGATAAGGAAAGGGACATACCACAGTTGAATATGGTGCGGTTGTGGAGTTTTGAGACGAACGGAGCGGAGTGAGAGAACTCAAATAGAGCCTAACAGCGAAAAGTGTGGTAAGGGAAAGACAAACAGCAGGAGAGACTGGGGCAGAAGCAGTTCAAGAGCTCAGGCAAGCCCAAGTAGGCCAACTTGGATACACAAACTAACAAAAGTGAGCGAGAGGGTTGAGAAGGCACTGAAGGCAGAGAAGGCGGTGGGGTGGCTAGGGAAGGAACCGATCCATCACCTGCAAAAAGGTGGAAGCCTGTATTTCGGGAACTTGAGTGGTTCATAAGGAATCGGGGAGGAAATGATAAATAGTAGTCATGGTTGAGAAAATGCATGTTCCGAATATGGGCTTTAGAATATCTGACTTCGAGGTAAATCAGACAACTAGCTGTCAGACGCCCTCTAGAAGTGCTACAAGAGACGGAACCGCACACAATTACATAGTCAGCAGAAGCCCTGGCATCGCAAGTTCTTGCGGGTCCCGGGATTTGCATGCAGCAGCAGCTTTCGATTCACGAAAATACTTCTGCGGGTCTAGTAGTTGGTAACGGGGGCCGAAGCCCCGACTGGAGGTGATAGAATGGCGACGGTTGGATGGAGAGCGAAAGGGGAGGGTGGCGCGAGGAGATTTCATGGAGATGGAGATGGCGGGCTGGGGTACGGACACTCCATATCACTCGGTGGTTCGGGTCCAATGTTCGGCTCGTTGCGTCAGCAAAGCACTGTGGGCAAGGGAGAAGCGGACAGAGTGGGCAGAGGCGCAGCCTATAGAATTTTATTTCTCGGTTGGGAGGTTCCTAGTGCTTGCACCGTCAGCTTGGCCCTGCAAACCTTCCCTAATTCCCAAATATAAGGGCTATGATAGAGGCTAGTTGGCCGGGATATCTGAAACCCGACGTGGTTGGGCAAAGACCGATGGAACGCTAGGATACGGGAAGCCCAGAATTCTGTCTCTCTTGTACTAGTACTGCCGGTATGCCACCTTGGAGACTCCCGCTCTTCTGGTGAGGACAACTTGGGGTGTGCGGGATGTGAATGTCTGGTAACTAACCTCGCCAATCCACACGTTACCCGCTGAATGCCACCTTATTTGGCGAGAGCCGTCAGGCTAGCAGGTTCAAATAAGATTTCAGTTCTTGTTTTATCTCAAAATTGCATTGAAGCGCCACATCCCAACTCCGTATAGTCAGGGCCAAATTTTTCAGGGCCCTGATTTCGACGTAATTGTAAGCTTCACCTCTGCCGCTTCTCATTCTAACGTTTTAAGTGTTTGCCGGCTCCCGCGCTAGACAATGCGGTATAACTTATATCCTTCCCGAGCTGGGATTGGGCAAAGGTGAAGGCAGAGTTTCATTGAATCGTCAGCAGTACGCTGCCTTGACGTTGGGAGAGAATGCGGTTGTCAAGTACCAAACCCTCTAGTCGGATTCTTACCACGGGAGTAGAGGAGACCTGTTGCTTGGCGCGGCCCGACCGATAACTTACGCCAAAGGGGGGGGCATGACACCCTGGCATGGCGAGGTTATGCTCCTCGTAACTCAACAACGATCCGGTGTATGAAGCGAGTTGCCCACCTCATGCCAATAGAAAGCCGCGAACCCGTTCATTCTTACCCAAACACAACCTCATCACACCTATAAATCTCACAACCCAGGTAAGCTCGCCCTTGCAAATTGAGTTAATATCGCGAGAAATTAACAGATTTGACAGTTCCGAGTCTTCCTCAAGGTTGCCTTCTCTCTCACTCCACCGATCACGCGCCCTGCCTCGCGTGCGAATGTTGCACCGATCCACAGGTCTCCGCAATGCGTCCCCATCGAATTCTGAGCCCGCCGAGAGTGGTAAGCGTAGCGGAAGTGACCGGGTAAGCCCGGGCCCGGGCCACTCAGGTGGGATGGAGCTCGTTTCTCTCACTACGCCCGCACCCCGCTATAATGGATCTCTTTATACGGGAAGCCTCTCTCCTCCGAACGAGTCCTCTGGAGTTTACCCCCCCTGCTCCCATACGAATGGTTCTCACAATATGAGATTTTGTTCAAAACCTCTCTATAACGAACGAAAAATGCTGAACTTTTGGCATTCGTTATAGCGAGGTGCGACTCGTGAAAAAAAAAATGACTGCTCTCCAGCTTAAGAATGCTAGGCAGGAGTCAGCGACGGAAACCCGGTATTGGTTGCGCTGGGTCACTGGATTTAGTGGAGGCACGGTATGTCATGGTTGGGATTCGCTTTTAACCTGGCCTCCTGCCACTGAAACATAACGGATACAGGCAGAGACCTACTACGACCGGAAACACTGGGGGAAAATTGGAGCACGAATCGACGAAAGAATATGTGCTCAATTCGTGCATTGGGGGGCGGGGTGGGCCTTGCGGGTTGGGAACGAGCTTTAGATGCCAAAACCAGAGATGCGAGACGAGATGTAACAAGAGGCGCACAGGACTCAGGAGCTGATGCAAGGCACGCTATCTGCCCGCATCCACTGATGACACCATCTCTTCTCTGCCCACCCATGGGCCCTATCTAAGAACCCTCCTCTCGCTCCCGCTTCCTCCTTCAGTATCCATAACCAAACCTAGAGTCCCCAGACGGTTCAAGCTCTCTCTCCACTATTTTTCGGATCCCACGTTTCGCTTTCCTAGTCGGAAAAAGGTGGTTGCGGGGTGGAACACCAAAATACACTTTCACGATTCCCCATCCTGAACTTTGGAGCTTTATTGGCTTGGGGTATTACCAATCCTATCGCGGATTTTAACTACCCTATGGCTGGCATCCTGAATGCTACCACACCTGCTTCCATAGTGGCACCTCGCCTATGCTATGGGAAGTAAAGGATTACCACCTCAGTCAGCCTCCCCCTCCCACTTGACTGGTTGCCAAAACCACCTGCCGAGCTTGCCAGCATTTTTCCTCCAGGTGTCAGCACACCCAGGCCGTGTCATCCTGAATACACTAAAACCTTGGCCCTTTAATCAAGGATGGAGGTTCCTCAGTGTACCCTCACTGCTCTATTTTGAGGCTAAGGTGGTGAAAACTGGGACAACTGTTTTTACACTTTCTTTCCTCTGCTGCTGGTACCCACTGGTGATGTTTCCTCCCCCGCCTGTCTTTTCCACATTGGGGAGGATGCGCGGGGGTTGGGTTCATTGGCAAGGGTTGGGATGTGTTTCTTTTGTTTGGGCTGTAGGCCTTTACGCCATAACTTACCGACAGGCTGAATGCGGCGGGTGAGACCCTATCTTGTACTAGTACTCGTACTTACTGTAAATCAATCCACTGAGATTAACATGGAAAGTGTTTTTTTCTCTCCCTTCCTTTGTATACCCGGCTATATCTTGTATCACTGCCGGTACCGTAGTCATTTATTTACAAAAGTGGCATTGTACAGTACCGGTAACATTTCGGGTGCAAGAATTGTACAGTACTACATACTCGTATCGAAATAGCGGAAGTAGAATCACTGTGACACAACCGGCTAACAGATCGAAAAAATATCTTGAGACGATCCGTAGGACCTAGCAGAATCACATCCGAATAGGTGTAATCCGGGCGGGGTTTCTCCGGATGGTAGAAGGACTTGTTCTACTTTTTTTTTTACCTCGAGAATAGAAGGCAGGTGATCCCGCGTCTCTTACCACCTCCCTAATGCATTGTTAGGGCAGTGGTGTGGACTGTGCGTTTTCTTGTAGTAGTGATTGACCACAAGGAAGGCTAAGCAAAGGGAACCTCGCGCAATTATGCACATCTAAAAGGTACTAAAACCACCAAATTCTCTGCGATTGTGAATTCCCAAACTCCTCCAAAGATCAGGGAGAAACCCCAAATCCAAAGCTATGTACTTCCCAACCCTCCCCCTATTCCTATTCATCTCCACCCTTTTCACCACTTCCCTCAGCCTCCCCACCACCGCCCTCAAACCTAGAGACTACACCTCAACTACCGCAAAAATCGATACCGTAATAAGCGACCTCTCCGGACTCGAAACTACCGTCATCGCATTCAACGGTGCCCCCGTGGATGCACAATCCATCGGTGCCGCGGCGGGAAAACTCGACAACGACCTTCGCCTCGCCACTGCAGACATTGGCGCATCGACATATTCCATTTCAGAAAGCGCTGCGTTGAGGGCTCTGGTGGTGCCGCTAGGGCCTATTCACACCAACGGATTGGCGGCGTTAAGTGCTAAAGTACACCCCTTTATTCCTTTTAGTTTTTCTTGGTAGGGGGAGGGTTCTGATTGGTTGTAGGTGCCGATGTTTGCTGCCCTGGGAGTAACTCCACAGGTAAAGGACCAATTACTCCAGCTATCGTCTGACAATGATGGCTTCTGGACGGCGTTGGCGAGGAAGCTCGCCGCCGGAGATCGGGATGCTGTGGCGGCTGCGGGGAATCAGGCAAGAGTGGCATATCAAGATGCTATTTCGGAGTTTTGAATGGGAAGTGTAGCGTAGGGTTATAGCAAATGTGTCTGTATGTGTGTGTGTGTTGTAGTGGGGAGGATATTGTGTGCCTCGAGTGACTGTGAGTGATCTACCCCAAGCTTTGCCCGGAGGAGGTGCCGTACCGTATGCGGTACCTATGCTAGTTACTGGGGGGCCACCCAATGTCCGTGCAACCTTGATTGTGTTGTTTCGGGAATGTACAGTGCACGAGGTGAACATGCGTGGATGTCTTGAAGTGCAGCGGACCGTCTGGGCACTGTTTTGGAGAAAGCCAGATCATGCTTGGGCATGTTATTCATGGAGAAAAACCAAGGAACAGGCGTCTCTACTATCTCTTTTCTTATAGGGGATCAGGGAGAATACCCTTACCACTCGCCTTCGCGTTGTGTTAGAGTTTTATGTAAGAGCGGGAGGCTCCTCCGGCTAATAGGAGATGTCCTCGGGATTCATTTAGTTATAATATCACTACCCCCCCCCTTTCGGATATGCCTTCAGTGGACGAGTGAACGAACCCAAAAGCAATTGTGGCTATTATTCTCATTCCAACAGATCATTTCATCAAGTTCAGATTTGTCCACTAAGTGCCCCTTAAGGACACCAATAGGATGGGCCCGAATTCTACCGACTCATTAGTAAATCTACTGTGGATTACAAACACTCAACCTCTTTGAAAAATTTAATGTAGGTCTCGTGATCAAGTCCTTGTTGTAACACGGGATCCCCAATTAAGACACGTCGGTGCTCAGTGAACCACTGCCGGTGATGAAGGCCCAGTTTTAAATTCATTCACTCATTTCTCTTTCAGAATGAAAATTATATTAACATGAGTCGTAAAGCGAACTCTTCATGTCCCATCTCTCCATGTCCCATAACCGAGTCATTAAACACTATAATTCAAAGTTTTTTCTTGTTTCTCCACACTTTTCCTCTCCATTTCCTCGCATTATTCCGTGATATCATCTACTAGACCCGGAAGTCCTGCGGTCGTGATGTTCGAAGGCTGGTTCATGTACAGGCTCAGTTTGCTAGGGAGTAGGTTAGCCTCAGTTGCCCAGATTTTGCAGCGGAGAATTATTTATATTGTACTTACTTTTCTGCTCCACAGTACTCGTGAACATTGCCCTTGCAGGGGGCATCACATTCTACATCGGGCAGTCTGGACGCAGAGGATGCCACGGTAGTTCCGCAGTGACACTATTGCAAAATAATTAGTCAAGATATTCCGCGCGGGTGCGGGGACGCATTTCATACCTGTTCACCAGATTCGAGCCCTGCATATGTGCTGTTTCTTTCTCTGCATGCACCTACGCAGAGCTCAACTGTCATTCTAGTATTATTGGTAAAGGAGAAGCTGGAAAGAGCATCATCCGTGTAACAGCCTTGGGTAATGTATCTGTCATGTCGCCAAATTAGCACCGGTACCCAAGCAGTGAGGGGGAATAGAACTTACGTCTCAACGGCCGCAACGTGGGCCGCCACTGGGGGTTCCGTCAATGTGTAGTTGTAGACACTAAGCCTGCTAGATCCACCACAGGTCTGGGATGAGTTCCCGGAACAGGCTGTATTACATCCCGTGAATCCGAATCTTGAATGATTCTGCAGGGCTGTTCCACAGTAACATCTATGAAATGTTAACCCCAATTATCCCCACATTAGATGCCAACAGTGTACTTACTCGTTACCAGCTTCAAGTCCAGAAAGCGTGAGATTTCGATCAATACAGAATGCCTGGCACTTGGTTACCGTCATGCTCCCGGAAGTCAACCGGCCACCATTAAGAGCACGAGGCTCGGTTTGGCTATAAAAAAAAAAGTTAGCATACACCCATTATGAGGAAGGTATTGGCACGCACTTTGCGCATCCCAGATATGACCATGCCGTTGGTGTCGCCGAAGTGGTAGTACTTGCTGATGTCGATGTGGAAGACGAAGAGGTCACTGTGGCATTCACCGACGAAACTGATGAGGTCGAGGAACTATTAGGGGCACTTGCGGACGAAGCTGATCCCCCGGAAGTCGAAGCGGAACTTGAGATAGATGTACTTGAAGTTGAGCTCGATCCCGAGGTAGTTGTCACGCTAGTAGATGTGGAATTTGAATCGCTTAACATTAGAGCCGCTGCAGCCAAGCCAACACCTGATGAGCTACTTGAGCTAGAAGCCGTCTCATTCCTCTTCTCGTAGACCGTCAATCTGCTCCCACCACCACAACTACACCAATGTCAGCATCGAACCCCTTCCGAGAATTCACTCAATGGAAGAACTTACTAATTGAATACATATCCCATACAGGTCAACCCACACTGAGAGCTTGGCGCAACGACCGCACCAGCGTTGAATGTGTTTCCACAGTAACACTCCCGACGATACTCAAGTCCAGCGTATCTAAATCCAGCACATGCTTCAAGACATTTGGGCACAGTCATGTCATCCGCGGCCAGCGATTTACCACTAAGAGCACGTCCAGCTGTCGCCTCCGTATAACACGCAAGGTATGTATAATTTGCATTCCCGGGATTGATAGTCGGCCCAGTTGGCAGCGGAGTCCCGGTTGTCGAAGTTGAAGTTGCTGAAGAGCTCCCCGACGCTGAAGTGGATGTGCTCGAAGCAGGGCTCGTAGAGCCTGCGGCCGACGAGGAAGATGAAGAGATCAAGTCCTTTTTCTTGTACAAGCTCAATCTTTGGCCCGCTCCACAGTATTCCAGCGCATTTCCAGCACACTTCATGCGACATTCCGTGACAGGCACTTGGGCAGCACCGCCTGCGAGTGTATTCCCGCACCAACACTCCCTATCAAAGAAAATATTAGCACAGTGGCTGCTCCAGGCGTATTGAATACATGCCTTCCATATTCGACTCCAGCCCATGTATAAGCACTACAAATTCCCAAACATTTGTCAATTGTCATATCACTAGCACCGGTTAGGACACTCAATGCTCTCCCTGTAGGTGGCTCCGCATAGCACCCGACAAAGCTATAATTAGCATTACCGGGATTGTCTATCGGGCCCGTTGGGGTCGGAGATACTGAAGATGAGGTGCTCGTGCTGGTACCAGTGCTACTCGTGATAGTAGTTGTACTAGAGCTACTAGAACTAGTGCTCGATGTCGTTCCAGAGCTAGTGGTTGTGGTAAGTACCGCGTTTTTCTTGTACAAGCTCAGTCGGTTCCCAGCTCCACAATACTCGAATGGATTCCCTAGAGAGTGAAATTCCGGATGAGAAACCACCTAGCTAAGGAGGAATGAAGCGCATACCTTTACAAGTCATTCGGCACTGTGAAACATCAGTCGAGACTGCTCCTAAGGCAAGTGAATTCCCACACCAGCACTCGCTTCCGTATTCAAGACCAGCGTACTCATAAGTACTACAGATACCAAGGCAGGTGTTAACATCCATAGTATCAGAAGCAGTCAACAGCGTTAAAGCTCTCCCCGCTGGCGGCTCGGTATAACATCCAACGAAGCTATAATTAACATTACCGGGGTTGTCAATTGGACCTGTAGGGGTCGGGGACACAGATGATGAGGCGGTAGTGCCAGTGGCAGTGGCCGAGCTTGAACTTGAGTTAGAACCAGTTGGTGTAGGCCCCTTCTTTTTCGTATACAAGCTCAATCTACTTCCAGCTCCACAGTATTCAAATTGATTCCCTAAATTGCAAACTCAGAGTGAGAAAGTAATCATATAAAAAGGGACATTAGGGAAATTCGTACCCGCGCAAAGCATTCTGCATTGCGTTAGACCTGTGATAGCAGAGGTTGCGGCAAGTGTATTCCCGCACCAACACTCCCTACGATAATTTAGTAACCCTCAATGCTGCGTTTCATCCAGATGCATACCTTCCATACTCCAGACCGGCATACTCATAAGTGTTGCAGATGTCAAGGCAGGTATTAACGGTCATGGTGTCGGATGCGGTAAGAACCGACAATGCCCTACCAATAGTAGCCTCTGTGTAGCAGCCCGCAAAACCAAAGTTGGAGTTTCCAGGGTTATCAATCGGGCCACCCGTAGGGGTAGGCGTTGGTGAGCCAGTCGGATCCCCAGTGGTTGAACTCGAAGATACAGGACCTCCAGGATTGTACCGATCGGAATCGGCGAATAAACTAATGTACGAGCCACCGCCAAAATAGCCATTGCCTCCGCAGATTTGGGTGCCATTTCTATACAAGAATTTAGAAATTACCCAAGCAGGAAGTGGTGTTACCCCTTACCCTGAGCAGTCAAAGTTGCATTCTTCCTCACCGACCTTTAAGCTAGGGATTGTATTGCCGCACCAGCACTCACGGTGGTACTGAGTCCCGGCAAAGATAAAATTCTGGGCAGCCCCAGCGCACCCACTCATACACTTTCCATTCTCGTTAGTATCCGCGCCATAGAGCTGGTTCGAGAGCTGCCGCCCAGGATTATTCTCTTTGAAGCAGCCAATATACCGATATCTCCCTTGGGAATTTGCCTTCAATGGCCCAAGTTGTTCCGAAACAGCATCACAGGAAAAGACAATGTCCTGTTTCCCCATTGTGGGGTCATTGGTATTCATAGTCCAAGTCGAGTTGGCGACGTATGCATCCACATTAACCTGAGACTTGGGGACAGAACAGAAAAGTTGAGCGGTAGCAGATTGGCCTGCGGCGAGCTCAGTCCCTTCGCCCAGATCAATCCCGTTGCGCGCACTAGTTCCAAAAGTGTCAGTGTGCCCCGACGATAAAGTGAGCTCTAAAGGAAGGTCCTACCCAACGACTTTGCCAGCACCAATAGGGGGCTTGGAAACAGTAACATGTAGTACACTCGCGTTCCTATAATTTGTTAGTATCCTCCGCAATGGGAAAAACCGTTTAATATACTGACGGATTGCCGAAGTTGGTAAGCCTCATTCTCAGAGTTCGAGTAGCCTGCTCGAAAACAGTGCCGAAGCTGAAAGGCACACCGGGTTGATATGCAGTCCACCCGGATCCATCAACCTTTTCGAATTCAATTAATGCCTTCGGGTAACTGCCGGCAGTGGCCACTACAGTCAGGAACTTAGTACCCCCTAGTTTAAAAATTAGCATATATCATTTCTAGCAGCATCCTCCGATCTGAGTATACCATTTGTCTTAAATTGCACGTAAGCTCCAAAGTTCCCCTCAGTGGTAGGATTGAAATTGATATTAACAGTTACAGAAGACTCGGGAGGAATGGTGGTCGGGAATCCCGTAAATGTGAATGGCCCAGCAGCGGTGGTTCCAGGAGGCAAGAAAGGACCTGCTTCACTCGTGGTGCTCACGTTTATCTCACTAATGGTTAGTGTTGTGCTACCCTGATTCTGTATAATAACGGCACGGTTATAGCCAGCAGGGTTTTCTCCCGTAATTATACCAGCAAAAGATACCGTGTTGGGGCTGATGAAGAGAACAGGTGTGAGGGAAGTAGCAACACCGCGTACGGCAATTGGTGTGTTATCGGCGTAGTCCGCAATAGAATTGGTAGTATTGACATAGATGTCATCTGAGAGCGGGCCCGGCGCAGTTGGCTTGAACGTAGTCTTGAAACTAACAATCTGGCCCGCTGTCAGAGCCAAGGGGAAAGTTGGGAGATCAGAAACCGAGAAGTATTGGGCAATACGAGGGCCAATTCCGGTTACTGTTACAGCAATATTCGCCTTGCAGCTGAGGGTCTTGGTCACAACAGCCCCCCCGATTGTGGCATTGCCGAACTCAACTGGTGATGAACAATTCATAGGAGGGTTGACGGGCGACCCCACAGCAACAAGATGTCTCCATTGGTCAGCACGTCCATCCATCATTTGGTTCAGGTGTTATCCAACGTACCCGTCGCTTGTGGTCAAATATGCCCTGCCGTTCCCGAAGGTAGGTCTACTGAATTTGATTTGGGCTGGGACGTTCAACCCCTTCAGGAGAACCAGTACTCCATTCTCAGGGACGGCCTTATAAATCCGGAGATTGAGACCTTGGATATCTGTGACCCAATACAAACCCGTCCCTGCCTGACCATTTAGAGAAGTCGATGTGCCATGACCAACCCCAAGCACAAAGGCTGTCTTTTCGTTGGATTGTGCAACCTGTGTGAAGACCGGTTCGCCATTTGGTCCCACACTAAATTTGAACACAAAAGTAGGGTATTGAACAACATTGACCTATACTCATATCAGAAGTGGTCTAATGGGGCCTCGATTCCAGAAATATCATACGTAAACATAGCCGCCCTCGAGTGGGTACGACCCTGCTGTTGCAAATACTGAATTGGGCAACTCTGTTGTCTGAAGAACGGCGTCCTTTTTATTCGGTCCCATTTGGTAGCCCCCAAGGTCGCTGTCACGCCCCCAGTCAGTACAACAACGACAGTCCGGAATCGGAGGGGACTAACTCAAGGTTCAAGAAATACAGCTTTCCAGACTTCCCCGCAATACACCCAATCCTTGCGACCGTTGGCGACTTGAAAACTGTAGGGTCCAATAATGCGATACCTGAAGTCCCAAGGTCTTTATCTGCGCCATCTAAAGCTTGCTGGAATGGAAGTTAGCACGTCCAGCTTCCCCAATGTGGTAATAGAAACATAGTAAAGGTTTTTTACTTTTTCCCAGGGCATGACTATAAGTGTTACGCAAATGGTTAGTACGCTGTACCTAGAGAACGGGAAGTGAAACATACAAAAGTCTATCACGGCGAGACTACCATCGGAATTAATGGCCATGTGAACAGCAGCCTCTTCCAGGGCTGTGGGAGGCTGCCGCCCAGGGACCGGGATTGTGCTAAGTTGCGAAGCATATCTAGGAAGACTATCAGCCTCATTCCACCAAAATATGTGGACAGACTAAAGCACTCACCCGTTCCCAGTAGCAAAGAACATACGGCCAGCTGCATTGAGATTAGACAAACGAAAGTATCAGCAATCCATAAAGCCAGTTCACTAGAGCCGCACAATACAGTTGCACAAAATGGGACTTACGAGAGTCTTGAGCAAGCCCACCACCACTCATCCACACACCACCTCCTTTTTTGTCCTCGGGGCCACCCTCGGTGGCGAACCTCTCCACAATCTCTCCCGTTTGACCATTCCAACCAATAATCCAGCCAGTAAAGTTATACTGTACGCAATCTGTTGAACTGGGTCAGCCCCTGGAATTGATAAACAGAATAGAGAAGCTGGAGTATACATACGGCTCGCGAAACCAGCATAGATGTATGGACCGCTCTGCATCAACGCTGGGCGTTGATGGTGGATACCCCCTTGGAACATCCTGATTGGATTATTTCTAGCAATAAGACCCTCGATATTAACCGGATATCCTGGCTTTTCCTCCAGTGTCCGGGTATCCAAAGCATGAATGAGATCTATTTTGTATCAGTTCGGCCACTTATCTCAAGGCTTATGCCTACATAGTCAGTGAGGAAAGAACATACAGCGCCCATTCGCTCTGCCCTTCTCAACATCACTCTGATCGCGGTATGTCTTGGTAGTTAGGTACCACGTATTGGTCTTATCGTCAATAACACCCGTAGCCTGACATTCGTTTTGAGATTAGCCAAGTAGCTCAAATGGGCGCTCGGAGAGTCCATACAGTGCTTCCAATAACAAAACTAATATCATTACAATCATCTAGCTCAGAAACCAAAAAGGGAATTGCTAGGTTCCTGGAGGTCAAAATATCTCCAGTTTTGGCGTCAATCTTATAAACCCTAATACAGATAGTTAAATCATAAATAAGACCAAATTATCCCCCGATAGATCTTACATGTTCATCTGGGACGCGACATAGACGAATTGAGTATCATCGGGGGTATAAACCAACGCTTGCGCAAATATCTTCCCATTTATTAGCAATTCCAATCTGATAGAAATATAGTCACCTAAGTCTCATAAACCGCGATCCGCTTACCTGTTCGGTCCATCCTCTATAGTTTCCTTGCAATTTCTTCCTCCACATCATTCCAAACTGAGGCGATCCTATTATAGATGGGTCCATATTATGATTTCTAGATACATCCCCAATACCGTATGTCAACGATTTCACATTCCCCAAAGGTTTACAGGGTTATCATGCAGATTGCGAATCATCACTTGAAACGCGCAATTGACCAACAACAAAGTAACATCAGTGGGTTAGAGTACTTACGGTTGGTAACCAGATCTAGTATTATCACCACCGCTGGTGATCGTATCAGTCGAATGCAGTGCTTCAACATTAGCAAAAAAGAGGGAGACCAGTAAAACCGTGCACGCTAGAAGCTGTCCAGGAAATACGGCGGCCGTTGAACGACTGCCGCCGCGGAGGAAGGGCATCTTAGCTTCCCTTCAGAGTTAAGCTATCCGAAGACCAATCTTGTGGGAAGAAAAAAAGCTCCAGGAATTCCTCGAAATTGACACTCAATTATCCACTCCTCAATGCCGTGGGGTAGGAGAGGCTAATTGAATAACAAAAAGATGAAAGATTTTTTACGACGAAGGGGGACTCATAATAACTTAAGTGCTTTCCTTCCAACACAAAAATCTGGTACTACATACATCACCCATGTTACTGATTCCCCGCAGGTTTTCTGGTCCGCTGAAATGGGGCCAACCACGCGCCGTAAATTTATCCCAGCCCTCCTTCTAGGTCCAAAGGAGGAAGCTCTGTCGACCCAACAATCTTTGTGGCACAGCTTTGGCGTGGGCAGTTCAGAATTCTCCACGCATGAGATTGCCCATTCCTATCGTACTAGCGTTGTATGAGCATTGGAGTAACACAATCGGAAGCCTACCAGCAAGCGTAAGTTCACAGATACAGGCAGCACCCCCATCAACATTTTTAGGCCGAGTGATAAGTTTAAGACCCGCAGCCCACAACGGGGCATATGGTGCCGAAAATTAAATCCATGCGATTCAAAACCCTCCCAATCGGCTTGCGATACACTATCAACTTCTGAGCGCTCTGTCCAGGAGTTTCCTAGATTGATGATTCAAAGTGAAAGCCCTTTTTCCTGCCGGGGCACTTTACCTCACACTTTTCCATTTGCCTCCGCCCAGTCCTCGGCAGAAGAGATCCTACCATGTACAAGTACTAGTACAGTATTACACATATATTTGCGGAACTGGTGGGGAGGGTACCTGGAAAACAAGCGCCCCAAGGTCTGCAGTAGATTCCGGCCCAAATACAAGTAGAGTTGCACCAAAAGGCGGACCCAGCCGCAAGCCCGGACCGAGACCCTACCGGTATTCCCCAAAAGTGGATAAAAATCAAGTTAGAATAAAGACGCTTATCTACTTGTACTTGTCCAAATCCAGAAGTACACAGAACAGGGGGGTATAATCTAGATTGGTGAGGACATGCGCTGGTTTTTCACCACACACTTATATTCCTTTAATCCTCGTTTTCGGGTGCTTATGGGCCCGGACAAACGTGGCGTGTTGTAGCGATATCGATATACCCCGATTGTACCCCTACATGTACGAGTATTAATTTTGTTCTCGTGTAAAAAGTCCTGATTCTGCGAATATTCCCGCGCCGCGTACTGTAGGAAACCCGACGAACATACCTTTTTCCGAAGTTCTAAGCTCACCGTGCCAGGTTGGTGCTCCAGACAATCCCTAGGTAAGTTTTCCACAAGGTGAACGGAGTGGGGTCCTACCAGTCTCCCCGAACTCCCAAGAAACCAAATCAGCTCCGCCGGAACCGCCCCCATACAAAGAATTATCAACACATGCCTCCCAGTTACGGTGACTGTATACTCTGGTAGTATGATAATCTGTTGTACCGCGGGGGCCCCCACCCTCCCCCCCCTCTCTTGACCTATTTTCCTAAAAGGCCGCGCTGTGGAACGCCATAGAGATGTTTGTACGAGTACGGCAGGAAAATTTGACTGTTGGACTTGTGGAATTCGGTTGCTTGTGTCACACCACAATAAGCTGCACCTGGCAATCGCTTTTCACTGCCCCTGCCGTCGTTGACAGAGTGGAGGCGAAAATACCAAATACCAGTGGTGATTCTACGATACCGTCCCGACACCCACCCCACGGCAAGCCCCAGCAAAGCGAGAACACCGTAATACAAGACGCCCATACAGGTTTCATGGGACAAGGATTGCCCCCATGGATACCCTCGTTTTGCAGTGGGCTAACTTTGGAGCGGTACCGTAACCCCATGGAGATTCCAGTTGGAAAAAAACTCATGATAAACTCCCAGACCACCGAAACGATGTCTTTAGTCTTGAGTCCTTGACGTCCGGTTGCCAAGTCGCTAGCGCAACCGCCATTGAGAGATGTGGATCTATCGTTAAAGGCGCTGCCCGCTTGCTTTGTTTTTCTCACCCAATGCTCGCCTGCATGGATTGAGGAGAGACATGAAGTGAAGGCACTTTGGCTGGGAGGAAATTACAGTGCACTACCCCCCCTCTGCCCACAAGGCTGAGACAACCCTGGGCGAGCATGTCTCACGGGTCATACTCGAGTAAATCCATCTGCACGACTGCCCGCCCACGGGCACTCGAGCACTCGTACGGTGCAGTATCATACCGGTAGGAGGGTATGGCGAGGCTTTCTAATAATCTGTTTCTCATAAACCTAACTCACTTGTAACCTTGATTTACTTATTAACTCAACCGACGGTTCCACCTTTGGCAACCCCTATCCACGCTCAAAAGCGAAAATTAAAGCCGCACGACAGGGATATGTGGTTGGGATACCGGTACCGGCACAGTAGGGTATCATACGGTACCTGCGTGACACCAACGCCCTGATAACAGTGGCGCTTGAACTCCGGCCTCGGCAGCAAAATGCCCCCATAAAGCAGCACCAGCCCCCACGCGACTGCTTCTTTATCAACGGGGAGAATCCAGGCTGCCCCTTCGTTAACTTGAACCCCTCCAGGTTTGGATTATTTCCCAAGTTGGGAACATTCTGCAGACGCCCCCCCCTTCTGGATATAAGGGGGCTAAGTTACGGACCTTCACAAAGTGTGCATACAAAGCTCAGCAGGGCCCGACTTTTCTTCCGATGCTCAGGAGACATCGAGAGGATGAGATCTATAGACTATAGGCATCACCCGCGAAAGGAGCTGGCCGCAGAAATTATCAACACCAAGCCCAAATCAATTTTCCCCGCCAGAAGCTAACAAGTAATCTTAACCTTAGAGTATTGGCACTAATCTCCACAGGTACAGTACCTCATGTTGACTTTGCCTGTACGAGTACTCGAGTACAGTACCGGTACCATACAGCGCTGGTACTTGTACAAGGAGTCGTTAGAGAGACCAACCACCGGTACCCCAGCCAATTGGAAATGCTGCACGCTTCTCGGGCAGGAAAACCGGCTGGCTTGCACCTCATGCGGGCCTGGGTAATAACAGCAAGCCCATCACACCTCCTTCGGCGTAACATTCTGTCGGGTGTTGCCACTGGTCGCACTCGTAGAGAGCTGCACCAACCCAACTCTTGTGTGCACAAGTATTGTATTGGTGCTAGTACGAGTGCCGTCGAAGTACGAGTACAGTACCGTATCCAAGTGGCGCACACTACTCGGCTCAGATTTTCTAGCTTCCGCCAACATGAACGTTTAAGAGAAAAATTATCTCCGTGCACTCTAATTTTGACAGTTTCCCCTGTTCCGCCCACCAGCCTCCCGTCTCAATCACTCCATCCCCCGGGATCCCGCCGTATCACCGCCCAGGCCCCAGACGGGCCGTTCCTTGAAATTCCACGGAAGCCGCCTTCGTGACGGGATAGAACGCAAAGTACTAGTACGTGGCGCATGCAGACAACCGTGCTCATGACCCTAAGAAGGAATCAGATTAGTAAAGCACCTGCACCCGTGGGGATGAATAAAACTTGTCATGACAAGAAAGGGAACTGCCGGTACCGAAATAATAGTCCCACGAAAACCGGAATGGTTGAGAAGGACACTAGGACACCCAGAATTTCCTCTATTGGATAAAGGGGAGAAAACACAGCGGGAAGATTCCCTTTCGGCGACGGGTTGAGACAAAACATAAAGGCCCCCACTCTGGGAAGGAACTCCAACGTCCAAGCGAGATTCCCAATTTTTACAATTTCTACGCCTACCAATAGGAAAAATACATAATGGGGAGTACAATAACCCCCCCTCCTTTCAGACTCATGTCCAGTTCGACGTCGAGCCTGCTCTCTGCGTTTAAAGGCGGGATTCTCTTCATAGATCGGCCGACATAATACCCTAAAATTCAAAGTAACGCCACTATAGATATGGCCAGGCAGGAGACGCACAAGACCAATCCTCAATGAATTGTCAACACCCAGCACGCTGATCTCTCAATCCCACCCGGGGATTTGAGAAAATGGCCCCATCCTAGTTGATCTGCCCTCGTTATCCGCCATCCCGATCATCATGGGGTAGAGAACCAGGCCGGCAAAGACTAGATTTGGCTGTACTCGTGTACGGGGCAAGGGATTCAAATTCGAAACCACCCCAAGCCGAGTGAGCGCCCAGGCTCCAACCAGCAAGCCCGCAGCAAAGGTAGTGGACTGGTGTATTTGTAGCATTCTACTAGTATTAACGCCGGTAGTCCGAAATTAATAGTCGTACGCATATCAACCTTATTTTGGACAGCCCAGCCCAACCGTGCAATCCACTCAACTACAGAGGGCCCTCCTATCTACGAGGAGATAAAAATGATACCCGAAAGCAACGGACGATTTTTATTTTTTTTCAGAACTCTCCTGATGCTAAGAAATCCCCATAGCCCACCTACCTACCTACTACGTTCACCAGAAAGCAAAACGGTAGTTCTAACCTCCCTGGGGTCTATTGTTGGTTGCTTCTCGGTGTTGAAGTCATGAGAGATGGTGTGTTGTGGTTGGTCATGGAAGGCACGGGAAGTGCAATGGAAGGACAAGGCCGTTTACAGAAGTCGTGGAAGTGTGTTTCAGTTTTTGGCAGTATGATAGATTTGTTTGAAGTCTGGAAGCAGATTCTAGAGATATGTCTTTCCTTTGTTATCACGGGTGTGGGCAGAGGAGTTTGGACATGGACGGAATGTTAGAGATGGGTGTATTGATCCATGGAGAGATCAGATTGCTTTGATGATGTTTTCCCTACACACCTGTCATTACCAATTAGCTAGAGAGGGGTGAGTAAGAGAAGAAGCACGCACCTTTCTTAATTATCCCACCACAGATATTCTCTTTACTGTTCCGTTCTATTACCACTGCGCATTCCGATAGCAGCCTCCATCACAGCGCTCAGGATCATTCTGGCTG